TGCTGTCAGTGCAGAGCCTGATGTGGGGCTCAAACTCAGGAACCGTGAGATCATGATCCTGAAATGAAGAGTCAGACACTCATCTGATTGAGCTACCCAGGCGCCCCTCCTGGTGGTTTTCTTGGCCTGCAGAAATTTAAATCTTTGACTTTCTTCCCAACCATTTATTACAGTAAAGTTTTATCTTAATTAAACATATATATATATATATATATATATATATATATATATCAATGTATAAATAATAAAACTACGGATTTCATAGAACTTAAGAAATTTAAAATAATGAAGAATTTTTATACAGTAAAGATACAGACTTCCCCCATGTTAATTTGTAGATTTTAAGTAATACCCATATATTTTTTAAAAAATATGGGCATGGTTGCTTTTGCCTCTGTTTTTCAGTTCCTCCTGTATTACTGACCACTATTGCATGAAGTGGGAATGATGATAAGGCCTATATTTCACATGCTCCATAAAGTATGCAGTTTTATTTTGCTATCTGTAGATACCATAATACAAAAAAAAAAAAAAAAAAATCCTAATCTGTGAAAAAAAATCATGCCTGTCTTTTTGTTAAATGATAAGTGAAACCTCTGGGAAAGATAAATTAGTGCTTGTGTTGGTCTGCCATCTCCAGATATCTCATGAGTACACAGGAGGTAGTGATAAGCACAGCCTTCACTCCTTCAGCCCTCACATCAGAGTTGTGTTATCAGCTGCAGGGCTGTGCTCACAAGAGACGTTAATCTGCTTTTGAGTCCTCATCATTTTCTTCCTTTTTTATTTTCTCTTCTCTCTGCCCTGTTCAACCTTCTTGATAGTGTCTGTTATTTCCACTATCTCCATGTGATTTGCTTGCTGTTCTGTAGTGTTAACTCACTGTGTCTTCTAAATCATTCCAATTGGGTTTTGATTGTAAATGAAAATCAAAATAGCTGTTTTTCAAATAAATAACCTCCCATGGCCCAAGATTTGTGTTTGGATCTATTGGATAATTTGAAAAATATACAGGTTCTCTGTCCACTGTTGAATACAAAAAAAAAAAAAAAAGTGAAGATCAAATCTCTGTCCTCTCTAATTCTAGGGACTTTTGTTGGACTGGAAGAGCTTAAATCCTCAAACTCCCTCTGTTCAATTTCCTATTTCACAGTGATTATAAGATATTTTTGAGGGGCGCCTGGGTGGCTTGGTTGGTTAAGCGTCTGATTTCGGCTCAGGTCATGATCTCACGGTCCGTGAGTTCAAGCCCTGCGTTGGGCTCTGTGCTGACAGCTCAGAGCCTGGAGCCTGTTTCTGATTCTGTGTCTCCCTCTCTCTCTGACCCTCCCCCATTCATGCTCTGTCTCTCTCTGTCTCAAAAATAAATAAACGTTAAAAAAGGAATTTAAAAAAATTTAAAAAAAAGATATTTTTGTAAGATTTTTATCATGCCTCCAGGGTAACTTAAAAATAAAGAAATAGGGGCGCCTGGGTAGCTTAGTTGGTTGAGCGTCTGACTTCAGCTCAGGTTATGATATTGCAGTTGGTAAGCTCGAGCCCCGTGTCAGGCTCTGTGCTGACAGCTCAGAGCCTGGAGCCCGCTTTGGATTCTGTGTCTCCCTCTCTCTCTGCCTCTCCGCTGCTCATCCTCTGTGTCTCTCTCTGTCTCAAAAATAACTAAACGTTAAAAAAAAAATGAAAAATAAATAAAGAAATAAAAGTTAAGATTCTGGTGAATCTTGGTTTAGATAAGGCTGATCATCCATGGAGACATGATTCTCATGTAGTAGTTTTTTATGTTCTGCTTCACATGTACTACTTACTCCCTGAGGCACAATCTGGAAGTGAGATGAGAATCCAGGAAATATCTCTTTAACAGAAATGTCAAGGGTTGTCTCTGTTGTGTGTCCAGGTAATTTCTGCACATTGTGTTACAAATAAGAGAGAATTTTTCATCCTCATTAAGAGGTTGGGCTGCGATGTTTCTGCAGGTTGATCTTGCTTCATGCATGTGTTTTCTTGTGCGTCTGTGGGTGTGGGTTTACTCCAGCAGTCACCCTTTGGATATTCAGACAGACCAGGTGAGGGAATCCTTTTATGAGACAACTAGTGGTTGCATGTTCTTTTCCCTAGATTACTAGAAGAGTTGTAAGAAATCAACCATTGTAAATGTTTTTATTGTCAATGTTGTAAGTCCCTCCAGTTAACCAGAGAAGTGACAGGAGAGCTTTGGATGACATAGAGAGAAGTATTTACAAGAGTGCCCAGTCACACAGTCACGGTTCCCTGTGTATTGGATGTTAAAGACATACTTGTTTTATTTCATATTCTCATATTTAGTCATTTTTCTAAGTCAGAACCACGCACCACAGTGGCTGATTCTGAAAGGTAACCATAATCCGAGCCCACGAATGAGAGTCCATTCTCCCAGGCCAAGCTGGCATTTCACACTTGTTGCCCCATAGTCCCACAGTAGTTTCCAATATTGGAGCCTATATTCACCCAAGAATGATTCAGTCTCTTCTCTGAAGACTACCTTTTATAGGGCCAAGCAACCTTGTAAGATACTAAAATCACAAATTCTTATTACGTACTTCACTCAGAGTAATGAATGCCCTTTTTCATACATTGGAATAACCAAAAAGACCTTTCAACAGAGCCACTGGAGGACAAAGGGAATCATTTTTCTTTGATTAAAATAAAAATGCTAATATTCCCTTAATTCTCTCTGTAATAAATGAAAACAAAATTGAGGCAAAATTATTTTTATGTGTGTTTTCTGAGCCTAGTAGCAATTATCAGGAAAAATGGAACTAAAATTTTATAGAAGAAAAGGGAGATTTTTCATAGAGGAATAAGCAATAAAGTAGCTGGAGTCAACTAAAAACATACTTTGGACTTCCATGTCCAAATATTCCATTTTGTGTGAGAGAGTGTGTGTATATGTGTGTGTGCTGAAGCAATGATTGAGAGTACTACATCAGAATGTTATCACATGCCTTTCAATAGATGAAGTTACAATTGTCAAAGGGTTTATGAAAAACAACTATTTACCAGTCTTCAATTTCAATTCTCCTGTATTAAGTTGAATATATCAAATAAAGTTTAAATGAATTTCTTCCATTTCAAGCATCAACACTAATGTTACTTTTTTAATATTATAGAAATAATACAATAAGAATGTTTCAACACATTGGACAGTGAGCCCAATATTGTGGGGGCAAAGGCAATCAAAATGTATAATATATGCAAAAACATCTCAGTTAAAGGTGGGGCAGATGTTGAGAATTTTCCAATGGAGTTAGTAAAGGAAAATTAATGGTTAGTTTAATCCTGTAAAATACCATTTATGCTGCTTTATATTCCCTAAATTTGGGGATGCTTTTTTACTGTTTATCTTTATGGAACATAAAACCAAACTTTAACATCATGTGTGTGTAACATGCTTTTCTAAACTTTATCAGCTCTTCTTTGCCAGCAGAGTTTTCTTTTAGGTACCAATCCTTGTAATTTAGAATAAAGCTGAATTTAGGGACTGTATTAAGTCTGAAGTATGTTGGAATCTTTCCTAGACAAACATTTTTATTATTTAAAAATTATTTATTATAACCTATTGCACATACCTATGTAAGCTTTAAAAATAATTTTTAAAAATTGTGGCTTTAAACTTTGTGGCTCATGCTTATTTAGTATTATTTAAAAATATTTACACATTTCAAACATTTCCAGTCTAGAAACATCTGGTTAAGACACCAATGGGTTTCCAGGTTTCTGATCAACATCCCTGATTCAACCACTGGGAAAAGCCAGAAAAAATATTTGTGTGTATTAAGTCTTCAGAAAGTCTTCAAAGTGAAATGTGTGCATTTCACTCTTAAAGCACATTCCATTTCAGCTGTATTTCAAGTGCTTAGTACCCATATGTGAATGGTGGCTATTGTATGAGATAGCACAACATTAAGGCATTGCCAATTCTAAAATTTCTGTAGAAAAGTCTGAAATGCTGAGCAGGAGGAAGTGGCGAAAATATATTTAAAATGTTTTAAAATTCTAGCATATTCTAAAAGTGATTAAAAAGTCCTAATTTTATGGATTTTAATAAGTGGGACAAATGTTTCAATCTTCAGTGTAATATTAAAGGAAGATTAGGAAAATGTGTAACTAGCAAGGAAATGAGAATAAAAATGGAATAGTAAAAAAGAAAGCCATCCAAAAGAAGGCAAAAAACAAGAGATCAATATAAAATAGGTGAGGAAAATAGGAAACAGAAAAATTATAGATTTAAATTAAAAAATATAGAAACTACTAAATCCTACTAAAAACATCAATTAAATACTAAGGTCATCATTTATAAAACATACAAGTTGATCTTGGGCTTACCAGCTTCCAGAACTGGAAAATACATTTCTGTTGTTTAAAAGCCACCCAATCTATACTATTTTGTTATGTCAGCCCAAATGGACTAAAACAATGACCAAATTGGATTAATACCTGGAATAAAAGGTTCTTTACCATCTAAAAATCAATCAACACACTCAAATACTTGTTTCAGTTATTCAAAATGAGTAAAATACTCCATAGCAGTATACCCTGTCTGCTTGTGTGATCCTTTTCAACAGTGTCCTCTACTTTTGCTGTAAATAAACCTACATAAAAATTAAAATGTTGTGAACTCCTTTAAAATAAAAAAGGAGTGAAACAATGTAATTATCACCATGGATCAGGCCAGGAAATACATACACCCACCATCTATTCATAATGCAAAATCATAGTAAATAAGAAATAGACGTTGTCTTAGGTCAGGTTCCTGAGAAGGACCTAGAATCCCTGAGATAGAGACACATATATATATATATATGCTTTTTTGGAAAATCTGTTCTTCCAGAAAATACTATAAAGGAGACAGAAACAAAGGCTAGGGAAAGGACTAAGCAAAAATGAGATATTTGGCAAAAGTTAATTTTAATGTCATTAACAGGTAGCTTCTGTAATACAAATAGCAAAACCAATTTTTCTACCTTGAAACAAGATGGCTGGGCTTCAAGCTTCGTATTATTCAGTTGTCTATCACCAAAGGGAGTATAATATCTTATATTTCTCTAGGCAAGGCAACTTCCTTGAGTCAAAGACAATGCTGTGCAGAAGATCACAGTATTTAGTCATTAACCCCAGTACTCACAGCAAGAAAAAGGTTATTTTGGCAATGCACTATTTATTCTAACAAAGGAACATCCTTTAAAAAAAAAACCTTTGGCAAACAGCATAATTAATGAGCAAACATTAAAAGTTTTTACTTTGGAATCAATAGTGCAACTATCACCATATCTTTTATATGTACAAGAATTCTTTAATAGTTATACAAGGACAAAAATTAATCTTAATTTTTGTCATAGTTGTAGAGCTGTATACAGTTGGGTGTAAGTTTGTTGCAGCTACCAGATCGAATACTCTTTTTCTAAAGTAAATTTCAGAGAAATTATATCTTAAAATAATACACAGACAGAAAATTTATTGGAAAAATCACTATCAAACTTCTTAATAATTTAAAGTAAACAGATTTAATATGATTTTTGGAAATTATAAGAAAATAATAACTTAGTAAATTATATATATTTAACTATGTGTATAATATATATGCACATGTATCAAAAGGTTTTAAATGCTAGTGAGAATGTGAATCTATTATTTATGATGGACTAATTCAAATAAAGTCCCATTTCTTCAATAATTTTATTTTCAATGAAGTTTTATTACATTTTATAAACTGTATTAAAATTATTTTACTGTGTTAAAAAAAATCTAGGGACATTTGAGAATGAATTACTTCTCCATTCAAATTCATACTGAAATATATCAACCTATTTTTCATTTTAGTCTTGTTAAAACATGCTTTGCACATATAATAATAAATTGAACCACCAGCTTGAACTTAATATTGGATTAAGCATAGATTTATGTTCAAAATTTTTTACTAAGCTGAAATGAATTCAAAAAACATAGAATTAAATTTCAAGTAATACCTGAGATTTCTCAGATCACTGAGAAATGATATACTGGAAGTCTGAGTTACAGAATATATTCAAATAAGACAATAGTTGACTAAATGAAATTTCACGTTTCTTTTTCTAGTTTTGCTATATGTGTAGCTATACATATGTAGGTGAGTATATATGTATATTTGTACATATACATAATTGCATATCAAAACATAGATGTATGTATATATACACATACATGTACACATATGGAGAGAGATGGTTGGATTTTGCTTCCAGTTATTTATGATAAAACTTATTAACAACACATGATACAAATAATCCAGTAAGGACAGTATAAACAGAAGAAGATCGAAGAAGATACAGTGGACTACTTAATGGTTAAAAACAATACACATCTATTATCTCACATTTCTGCAGACTGGAAGTCAGAAATCTGTTTCAAAGGCTGAAAATCAAGGCTGATGCAAGCCCATTGCTATGGAAGCTAAAGGATCTAAATTATTTCCTTGCCTTCTCTAGCTTCTAGAGGCTGTCTGCATCCTCTGGCTCATGTCCCCTTCCTCCATTGTCAGATCCAACAGATAGCATCTTCTCTCTGACCACTGTTTCATTCTTATGTCTCTCTCTATATCCCTCTGCTCTCTGTTTCCATTATTATGTCACCTTCAAAGTCTGTGATCATCCTGCCTCCCTCTTATAAGGTTACTTGTGATTACATTGGTCTCACTTAGATAACATAGGATAATCTCCCTATGTCAAAATTCTTAATCATGTTTGCAAGTCCTTTGGCAATGTATGTAACTTACTCACAGGTTTGGGGATTAGGACGTAAATATTGTTGAAAGGTTATTATTCAAGCCAACACAGCTATATTATAAATACATCCCAAAAATGTAAAATCAGAGAGAGATATAATTAAGTACCAGTCCTACAAGAAAAAGTAACTTTTAAATGATGATAAAAGAAATAAATTCCCTGATAAATGGTGTCTTATCTATGCAAACTCGTTAGCTAACTTGATGTCAGTTGAATGATGGAAAACTTTATAATGGTTTTTCTGCCCTTATGATGAATAAATCCAAATAAATAAATCCCAAAATTAAGATATGAAATCAATTAAACTGGGTATGGGAATTAAAAATGTGTAATATCTATAGATTTAGTACAAGTCCAGTCAAAATCTCAGCAGATAATTTTGTGGATGTCAACAAACTGATGTGAAGTTTATACGGAAACACAAAAGATGCAGAATAGCAAACACAATACTGAAGTTGAATAAAGTCTGAGACTGAGGGGCGCCTGGGTGGCTCAGTCGGTTGAGCCTCCGACTTCGGCTCAGGTCACGATCTCACGGTCCCTGAGTTCGAGCCCCGCATCCGGCTCTGGGCTGATGGCTCAGAGCCTGGAGCCTGCTTCCAATTCTGTGTCTCCCTCTCTCTCTTCCCCTCCCCCATTCATGCTCTGTCTCTCTCTGTCTCAAAAATAAATAATCGTTAAAAAAAAATTTAAAAAAAAGGTCTGAGACTGATACTGCTTGACTTTAGAATTTACTATAAAGCTACAGTAATCAAGGCAGTGCGGTACTGGCAAAAGAACAAAGAGATCAATGCAGAAGAGCCCAGAAAAAGACCCACTCCTTCGGTATAGCAGCAAAGCCAATATAATGAAGAAAGGATAGTCTTCAACAAATAGTTATGAACAACTGGATATCCACATGCAAAAAACAAAAAAAAAAAAACCAAAACACAAAAAAAACTTAAAATGAAAATTAACTTAAAATGAATCCTAGACATTAATGTAAAATGCAAAACTATAAAATTCTTAGCAGACAACATAAAAGAAAATCTAGAGCTTGGCAACAACTTTTTATATACAACCAAAAGTATGACTCACAAAAGAAAAAAAGTTGATAAGCTTGACTTTATTAAAATTAAAAACTTGTTCTCTGTGGGAAGACACTATTAGGGGAATGGAAGACGAGCCACACTGAGAGAAAACATTTACAACAAGCATATATGATGAAGGACTATTGTTCAAAATAACACAAAGAACTCTTAAAACACAACAGTATTAAAAGAAACAAGTAGGTTAAAAAATAAGACCTGAACAGACCCATCACCAAAAATGGTATATAGATGGCAAATAAACGTATGGAAAGATGATTCACGAGGAAGATGGCGGCGTAGGAGGACGCTGGGCTCACCGCGCGTCCTGCTGATCACTTAGATTCCACCTACACCTGCCTAAATAACCCAGAAAACCACCAGAGGATTAGCAGAACGGAGACGCCGGAGCCAAG